TTTTTTTTTTCTCTGCTGATTAAGTCACGTCTTGTTTCATTCATAATTTAAATATAGTATTTGGTAATTAAATTTCAAGGGATTTAAAAAATATTTTCCTTTTGAGTGTAACATAAAATTTTGATTTTTTTAATGTAAATTAATGACAATAAAGACATACCTTAAAAATAGAAAAATTCACCATAGTGTCAAAATAAAACCTATGAAATGTGGTTGAAATGTAAAATAAATAAATAAATAAATAAATATTCATTTTAAATAATAAATTAATTAAATTATTATTTTTTTCTCATTTTCTTTAAGAGCCTAAACACTAATTCTAATAGATTTTACTGTGATTGTTAAACACTGATGTAAAACAAGCCTCAGCTCTTTGAAGACACCAAATCCTGATATTTATGAGCTGAAAATGTCACCTTAACCTCAACATATAGTCTGTTATCTCTAGGACAACAGAAGACTACATCATCTATTTTTTTCAAATAGTCAGTGAAATGAGCCAGAAAGTGAAACAAGTCATAAAATTTGGGGAAAGAGAAAAAACAGTGAAGTTTGTTGGTGTTGTAATGTAGGAGAACATGGACATGACTTCCACACTGCCAAGAATCCATGATTTATGTAAGCCTACCATCTGTTGCCACAGAATACGTTGCACAACTACCAATGAGTCAGATTGGCTATACGGACATCTACAATGTCATACACACGCGCGCACACACATACACATATATACACACACACACACACACTGTAAGATGGATACCGGTGGCGAGCTCACAGAGGCTCATATGAACGATGGATGAGGTGATGCAGAGAAGACCGCTGATCTCCTTACTCCCACTTTGAGTGACCTGAATATACCCCAGCACACGCACGCACACACACACACACACACACACACACAAACACCTACAAACTATCCGCACACATGCAGCATCCCCCTGCAGCTGACAGCCATTCATTCACTTCAGTGACATGCTCAGGCTATATCTAAATGGAGGGCTTTCTCTGGATTGGAGCCCTTCCCAGAGCAGACACCATGCGCGACACACACACACACACACACACACACACACACACACACACACACACACACACACACACACACACAGGTGAACACCCTTTCCTTTTTCAATCCACCAATTCTTACTGTCATTGCTAACCTCTTCTTTTCCTCCATTTCTCTTCCATACCCGTGTAATAAAGTAGAACACACACACACACACACACACTCGCATAAATAGAAGCCCATAATAACACACACACACACATGCATCCACACTGATAGGCCCAGTCACGATGGATAGCCTCTGGACTCTTGACGAGTGACATGCTTTCAGATGTGGTGTCTCCGCTCGCTTCCACCAGCCCCCACCGGGGAAAAAAAAAAAACTGCCACACCTGTCTGTGACACCTTCACCCTTTACATACACACACTCACTCACACACAAATCAGCTTGCGGCATGTTTGCTCTTACGACGTGAAAGCCCTCTCTCATTAACCCAGAGGGCACCCCTAGCCTCCCATTGTGCCCCTATCTCCCGCAGCATTCTGGGTAAAGTAGTTTAACAATGTCAACCAGATAAGCCCAATGCAAACCTGCTGATAAGGAGTCAAAGACTGCACTTAATGTCTGTGTGTTTTGAAGGCGTTGGTTGATTGAGGAGCCAATGAGGAGGATGTAAAAGCCCAAGAGTGAGCAGAATGGGTGCATATATGTGTGTGTGTGTGTGTGTGTGTGTGTGTGGTCACACTGGCAGGCGCTCTGTTTCACATCTTTGTAATAACAAGTTAAACTGCAGAAACAGCTAAACACAGAAGACAAAAGGAAAGCAAACACACACACACACACACACATACGGCTGGACAAAGGGCTTGTACTTGATAGTGTTTATGTGTGTGTGATTTCAAACTATTGCCAAGGACCATTAGCAAAGTTATTAAAAAAAAAAAAAAAAGTGAGTCAACTTTTCCTGTATTGACAAGTGAAGCAGGAGCTGGCCGAGAAGAGAAAGAGAAAAACCAGCAAAGGAGGGGCCGAACACTAAAAACACAGCTCAGAGTAAAATAAAGTTTATGGCCGACGTTCAAGGTGACGCTGTGCTCAAGCTCTCTTTGCGCGCTGCCACGAGGCAGCCAGACTGTAATTTGAGGTCAAAGGTAAATCCTTCATCCAGACTTCAATGTTGCAATAAGCTGCATCACAAAGGCTCCGGTTACCGTGCGATAAAAGGTGTGAATATGTCGCAGGAAGTCTCAAATAAAATGCAGTAAATTTGCGCACTTTGTCCCAGAAACTCCACACCCTGCAGGGGATAATCTCAACTGTTCTTCCCAGCTCTCCCATTACAACACACAAACACATACACACACACACACACAGTAAACTCCTAGAAGTGCAGGATTGCATTCACACACTGTGGGCTTATATCGGTGTGTACACACAGGTCGAGCATGTGCCACATGAACATTTATGTATTACACGCATGTATCCAGAGACACAGTCACAGGTGAGGATTTGAGGTATTTGCATGCTGAAAGCTGATCCCCTCGCTTTGTTCTCTTAATGGTGCTGTTCCGTTTTTATTATTCTGAATACCTGAGTCACCTGCACAGCCCGAGGAGACTTTATCTCGCCCGTCGTCTCTCATGAAACTCTGCGAGATACAGTTTCCCTTTCTCTCCCCGTTCTTCCCCTCCTATCGGCCACAGCTACAGTTTCAAATTGCTTCCCCCTCTCGTGTTTTTCCTCCCTTCTCATTCTTTCCACGCTTTCTTCTGCGGTCCACTTTCTTACAGCAGACAAATGATCGGCATTGATGAACACAAGGCGGCATTCAGAAGACTCACACCCAGCAGGAAAGGGCAAAAAAAAAAGACATCAAGATCGTCATGTTTTATTTTGTAAGAATCTTTTTTTTTTTTTAATGAAACACAAAAAGGCAATAAAATTAAGATAAATAATTTTTTCTTTTTGTACATGAGGAAATATTTAAGTCATATTTCCAAAGAATGACTGAAATTACATAATATATTTTAGTAGGCTATCTCGACCGTACAAAGCAGGTTCCAGTGGGTCTAAAAAAAAAAAAAAAAAACACAATGTCGTTTCTGTCAAAAGGTGATGGTTAGAACTGAATCCAGTGTTTCTTAAAGAAAATACAGCTTTTAAAAAATAATTCAATTAAAGACCCATAAAAGTAATATTTCAAAAAAATTGAGTTTCACATTAGATTCCTTTTAAAGCTTTTGCTTTGCAGTGTAACAGCAACATTGTTGTTAAAAGTCAGTCAATGTCCTAGAAAAGAAAAAGGCATTCATGTTCTTCCCCCCTGTACATCCTATACACTGACAACAAACAGTCATCACAGGCTTGCATAAACAGTTAGACAATGGTAAACAAGGAAAACAAGCGAACGTAAAACACACACACACACACACACACACACACACACACAGACATTTTTGGCAAAGCAGGAATAAAAGTGACAAGAAGCATAATTTGTGATTTGATCCTTATCTTGTTTTTTTTTTTTTTTGTGTCTCTCACCATTGTCCCATTGATTGGCTCTGATTGTCCTTCACAGTCACGTGATGCCATTCTGGTTGCCATAGAGACCTCAAGTGCATCAGCTGGGCAGCGCGCAGACAATGTTGCTGCAACGTTTCTCGGAGGCTGTCATAGCAACGCTGGGTGAACGCGAGCAGACAACGAGAGGAACTCTACTTCAAATACCTCGGTGATTGCAGGGGTCCCGGATTCAGATTTGATTGAACGTCTTTTTTTGTCTTTTTCATAAAATTGTTTTCTTCTGATGCGCTGAAGCGTAAACTCACAGGTGCTTTGGTATGTTTCGTTTTTGATGCCAGATAAATATCTACATTTTATATAGGAATACAGGCTAAAATAGATAAAGAAGAACTAGATTCTTTAAGGATCAGAGAACAGCAGAAACTCAGTTTCTTTTCCAGTATTTGTGAAAAAAAAAAGCTCCCAACAGGAAATGCACATTCTTAACTCAACAGAGCAAAATAAAAAAAAAAAGAGACATTTTTGAAACATTTAAAAAGAGCCTTTTTCTGATTTCCTTATAAAAACAACATTTCCCAAACACCCTTTCTACGTATTCATCCCTAAAGCAGGGCTTACAACCACAAAGTCTTCACAACAGTTGTACAAGTCCAAGCCTCCAATCCTGTTCAGTGCATTGAGAGAGGAGGAAACTTAACCCAACCTCCTCCCTCTAGCCAGACCCCCCGCCCCGCCCCCTCCCCCACAACCCACCCACACACACCCTAAAAAAATCTAAATAAAATATTCTTCTCTGCAAAAGAAAACAACAAAAAAAAGAACAAATATATATGTATACTATTTACAACATGTAATTTTATACATAATGCTGTACAAAGCACACACGCTTGCCCATGCACACATATGCACGCACACCAACATGCACGCACAGTTCAAATAAACAATCCAACTACCTGTACATGTGTCTTCGCACCTGAATAGGAGGATACGAGAGAGAGGTATTGACGTGTATGGCTTGACAGGAGAAAAAAAAAATTGTCGCGTGTTTCCGTCGCGAGGACTGAAAAACCGCACGTTAAGTACTGAATAGATTAATATTCAGAGTGTTAGAGACATACCGACAGTGTGTCATGACGTCATCTTTGCTTGATGAGCACAGGCGTACACGTGCATGACCACACACACACACACACTCATACAATACAAACACACACACGCTAAAGCACTATTTACTTAGAGCTCATTAAATGCTGAACAGGGTCATCGCAGCCACTCTGCAAACACACACACACACACACACACACACACACACACACACACACACACACACACACATTTACACACAAGTCCGAACTACAGTGTTTTTTGGTCCTGTTGGGGATCTGTCGTCAACGTCAAACTACCAGTATAAGACCATTAAAACCATCCAAACCAGTGTGGTTTACAGTAAGTCTGTCCCCTCCGTACTCTCTGCTCTCTGAGTCTGTCTTTGTCTCAGAAAGCCAAGTCTGCCAGCCGCCCCTCCATCGCATATCCAAGCTACTGTACTCCAAAGTGCTCATGTCCACGGGTCCTGTTCGTTTGTTGCAGTAATCTTGTCGCAGTGGTGAGACGCTCTTCTCTTTCAGCCACGGAGACGGGCCTCAGACTCTCGCTGCAACAAGGAGCCACAGTCCACATCTGATAAACAGGTTGAATCTGACACGGATCAGACTTCTCCCCAGAACGAACCAGACTCCTCTTAAGTGCCAGTACTGCTGGGCTTTATCCAGTGGGCTAGCTCCTCCTCTTACAGGGGACAGATCAGTACGCAGAGCCTAAACTCTCGGTTTCCGTCTGCCCCCTGCTCTGCTCTGGAGGACCATCCTGAAGGCCGTCAACTCCAGAGCTCAGGTCAGTATTTAGATTTCTCTCTAGCTGCCGGTGCTAGGACACGATGGCCATGCCGTCTGCGCTGATCAGCTGGCCTGTGGTTGGTTCGTAGGTTCCGGCCAGGTAGAACAGGTCGTTTGCCGCGTTGCCCGGCTTGCGTTCGCGCATCAGGTGATCGTACTCTGCCCTGCTGACCACCTGGCAGCGATGGGAGATGGTCTGCACGTCATTCTCATCCTCGTGGCTCGACTGGTACAAGGCGTTCTACGGTAGAGTCGGGAATAATGGTTGACAAATCAACAGGATAATGTATGCCACAATCAAAACGTTGCATTTACAATTTTTCGTAAGAAAAGTGGAAAGAAGCAAGTTTGTGTTTGGTATTTCCATGGTGCTGGTTTCACTCCCATGCAAACTGTGGGTTTGAGTTTCTGCAAGTGCTGATCTTTTATGTTTTTTCAGCCTTGCTGGATGTTAATATCCATGTACCCAGCTCTTTTTCTCTTTATTCCAAACAAAATCCAATATTGCCAATTGCCTGAAATGCAAAATGCATGATTTCCTGTGCAGCAGGAAAAAGGAAGTAGGAAGTAGGAAGGAGTGACCCGCCCTAGAATGAGTATTTAGAGCCAGTTGAGCCAGATGATCTAAACGGAAGCACCACTCACATCAGATGAGAATAGACAGTAAAAAGAAGCACACTGGTAATATATTTATATGAGGATGACGCAGACTGTTAACTTTGACCATTTCCCATTTTAGAAATTCTACTCGCACTCCTCGGGCTTTACCTTGCCATCGCGGTGTCGCTTCCCCAGGCGAGTCTCCTCTGGGTGGTAGAACCACTTGACCCTGACCACCATGCTGGAGCTCCACGACTCCCAGAGGCTCTCCACTCTGCCCACGTAGGGCAGCTGTGGCCGGCCAGGTGACAGGAACACAGCGCAGTCCCCGACACGCACCGTCTCCTTGCCCCGCACAATGGCCTTGTAAAAAAGCTTGCGGGCTTTGCCCTTCAGACCTCTCCTCTGTCAGAGAGAGAGAGAATAAAAACAGCACCCTCAGTCAATTTATTCAGTGTGGAAGGCTTATTTCACCACCAGCCTCATTTCAGAAATTAATTTGAGTTTTTGTTTGTTTTGCTAAACCCAGTCTACCAAAATATAGGAGGATTTAATATGTTTTTCCATTTCGAATCCAAAAAAATGCTTCTAGCCAAAAAATATGGTAGTTCAACTTTTTTAATTTATTTCTTCTTCTTCTTCTTTTTTTAAGTGTTCAGTGCCAAACACTGATTGGGTTACGATTGAGTTACAGGAGCATATCGGTAATTCACTTTTAACCTGATGAGGCAATACCACTGAAACTCACCTATGAGTTGTGATAACAGTAACCATAACCTGGATAACACACCTACATTTGTGTTTCCCCTTTTGATTTGTTGGGGCATGTACACACTAAAAAAGGATACAGTCGTGTTTATAAAGCAAACTGCATGGAAGCCGAGAGTGGCAAAGGTTGCTCAAACCGTTTTGTTCTGTTATCTCAGGATCGTGACTTAATAATCAGGATAACAAACTCGGAGATTAACCACACCAAGTAAGGCTGATAGTGGTGCCAATGTGTGCAGAGCCTGAGTCAGAATAAGCAGTCGTGAGAGAGAGATCATATTTGATCATTGCATTTACTGTATGTAATCAAGGTGTGACACAGCAGACACCGCCACAACAATCAGCCGCCTACTGAAGCTGTGACTTTAAGTAGGTTACAGATACCAAGACAATCGTAAAGTGTGATCATGAGAAAAAACTGTCAGGATTTCATTGTAATGGGATGTAGTAATGAGAGATCACAGCTGTTCTGCAGCAAAGTGACAAAAAGAAGAAAGATTTGGGAAAAACAACAAATTCAGAGATTATTCAACAACAAAGAAAGAACATATTAAAATACAAATACAATCCAAATGTGTTCTTACCTGTGTGGGGTTGCCGGACCATTTCCACAGCTGGCGTCCAGGCAGCAGGGGAGCCATGTTGGGCAGAGGCTCAGGTGAAGACATCCTCTGCCTCTTAGCTGTTGCCGGGTCCTTGGAGGAAGGTTTCGGCTGCTGGCTCACAGGACTGTTTTGGCTCTGATGGTGGCTGTTAGGAACCCCGTCCTTCCTCTTTAGCTGGGTCTTAGCTGTGCTACTGTTAGCCACCATACTTCCTTTGGACATGAACTCCTTCCTGTCTTCTGCTCTGTCAGCCCTCACCTTTGACCCCGAGACGGCCATGCTGGCTTTAGCCACGTAGCCGTGAGCAGGGGCTGAGGCAGAGGCAGAGGGAGAGGAGCTGGAGGTGGTAGGGTCAGGGTTTAGGAGGTCGGAGGTCATGTTCTGCCTGTGCTTGTGTTTGTCCTGCTGGAGCAGTGCACGGCGCAGCAGCACAGAGGACGACTCTTCATCAGAGGAGTAGGAGGAATCGTTGTCGGAGGAGCAGAGGGACGAGGAGGAGATGGAACCGGAGGAGGAAGAGGAAGAAGAAGATGACGTGAAGCAGACGGAGAGACGAGAGGGAAAACGACCACCGCGGTGAGGTGGGACTCCCGCACTACGTGCATCAGCATCTTGGCCTTCATCCTCATCGTCCTCATCCAGCTCAGAGTAGGAGCTGGGGCAGTCGCTCGGGTAGTCCAAACTGTAATCCCCACCTTGGACTCCGAGACCAGCTGACAGAAGATCCTTTCTTAGAGGTGGAGCGCCCTTTAGAAGAGCCTCAGACCGGGCCCCAGCACCGTCTCTTTCCCCTCCTCCCTTCTTGCCATCCTTCACCAGGAGGGACGGGTGGATGTATCGTAGTGGTGCTCCTGCAGAGGCGAGGCTCTTTCCTACTCTCCCTCCGCTCCCTCCGAGTCGAAGCAAGGCCTTGCTGTTCTTTGTTTTAGGAGATGTCACTCCTTCATGGTCAAGCTTCACCAGGAACTGTTTCCTGTCGCGTTCGCTCACTGGCTTCCTGTTCCCAGCTGCCATTGCCATGGTGACAGCTGAGGAGGAAGAGGAGGACGAGGAGTCCCGGAGACCCATGGAAGCAACTGAGGTGACGGGTCGCCCGGCTCCAGAGCTTCCACCGCTTCCGAAGGTGGAGTAGCCGTTGGCAATGCTACTGAATGAGTCGACTACAAAAGGAGAGCCAAAGATGCCTTTGATGGGGGTCGGAGCTGCAAGAGGGTGGGAGGCGGGCCGATGAAACAAACCCAAGTCCCGCTCTCGTATTCTCCTCTGGGTCTTACGGGACGTCCCGTTGAAGAGGAAGAAGTCAACCGGCGGCCTCTTCCTAGGCACAGACCAGTTCAACAAGGAAGTGGTGCTTTTGGTTACAGTGTCTGTTACTGATGTCGGCGCGCTGGCGGTCTTAGGCACTGAGTGGATTTTCTTCGGTCTGCCAACTGAAAAAGGAGCCAGCAACAGAGAGGAGTTATAATCAATATGAAGTGACAGGTCTCAGGACCATACTGAGATTAATTGTAGAACTAAGAGCTTTGGGGAAACTTAATATCTTTATCTCCTTGATCTTCCCCTGGCCAGGTACATTTCGACACATACATTACTCACACTGCAACAAACCTGGTAAACCTGTCTCTCCCCCCCAAGCCCAACTGTCACCCTGACTTTGTGATCAGTTACATGTATGTTGCTTAACTTCAAAAAGCACGCGGCTGACACTTCATAAAATCATAATTAATCATGTAGTCATATGGGAACAAGTGACAGGCAGCAAACAAGGAAGTTTAATTTACGAGTCTTTCGTTTTATGTAACTGACTCAGAGGCATCTGATAATAATTGGTCGACAGGTGGAACTGTGAGCGAGGCATTGTTTGGGGGAATTTTGGCCTGAAGAGTCGTTCGTCTGTGCGTATATGTAATGTATTAACTAGTTAGACCAGTGCGACACAGACAACACATCAAAGGAGTGATGTTCACTGGATTCCTCAGACAGTTCATAAACCAAAGACTGTGTAATAGCTGATTAAAAATGATTAAATGTTGTGTCCTCCCCCTCACCTGGTCGTTTCTCCTGGGGCCTCCCTGCTTGCTCCTCATTGGCTGGTTTTTCTGTAGGTGTATCTTTCTTCTCCTGCGTGGACCCTCGTCGACCGCGGCGACCGGGTGAGATCAGAAGGGCGGGAGAGGGTTCCGCACCTGACAGAGAAGAGTTGTTTAATGGTGGCATTCATTTATTCATTCATTCCTTTGTTTAGCATGCACTACCCCCCCCCCCTCACTCTCCAGACGGCCACACTCACAGCGGATCTGGTATCCGGGGGGCAGGAGTCTGATGTTTGGGAGGGAGATCCTTCCTCTGTCTCCGTCATCAAACTCCACCATCACACTGCCCTCCTTCTCCGCCTCACCCGGACCTCCTGAAGCACAGCACAGAGAGGAGGATATGAGCTGTGTGTGCGTGTGAATGTGCGTGCGTGCGTGCGCGTGAGCGTGAGCGTATGCAAAGAGTGAGGTGGTCAGTGCATGTCGCGCACCTCGGTGGACATATCCGGGGTAAAGACAGCGAGAGCGCTCGCTCCAGTAGGCACAAACTCGCGTCCCTGCGGTCAGGATGGCCTCAGTCTGGGGCCGCACGTCTAACACCTGGAAAAAACAGGAAATAAACTGTGTAACTCTTGTGGAGTTTGAGTTAAAACGACCCACAGCTGCCACAATACTGCTGATTGTAATAAATACTAAGGAGCTGAAACTCACAGCTTCCTGTAGCAGTTGCTCCAACGAGTAGATCCTGGGGCGATTCCCTCGCTCCCCCTCGATGACAACACTGAATCTAAAGAAAAAAAAACAAAACAAAAAAAAAAAGGAAGGAAAAGGAAATTAATGAAAAATAAAAAATTGCTCAAAAACCAAAACCACCATTTCAATTTGTAAGTTATAATTTCATATTTACTCTAACAACCTTGCTGCGAGATTTCAAGGTTGTCTTTTAGAAAATAGGGTTTTTGTCGTGAGTGCTCAGTTACTCTACAGGCAGCTGTGTTGGCTGCCACTGCTGTGTGTCTTGGCTTTGTAGTCGTCTAGACTTCTTGTTTGTCAAGATTCTCACAGCTGCCAGGCATTTAACTAGCGCTAAGCTAAGTTTTCAGCTCTCTTGTAAATCAGACTTGGGTCTTGTCGCAATATGTCATTTTAGTGCTAAACTAAAGATTTTGAGACAGCAGGTCCTGTGATTAATCGACAGCTTAAACAATGGTCATACGTGACACTCGCTGTGGGTGAGGGGCCTCACTTTCTGCTACAAAACCTAGTGGAAATCTCTGCGCTCTTTTTTATAGGTTTTATTGCATCTGTGCAGTGACAGCAGCGAAGCAGGGTCTTACATGTCGGGCAGATCCAGAGTTTGGACGCAGGCGGCGTACAGCAGCTCGTCCTCCTTAGAGATCAGGATCTTCAGCCCGTCCACCAGCATCTCTTTGCTCAGCACACAGTTTGGCAGGGCTGCAGGGGGGGGGGGGGGGGGGGGTGAGATGTACATAATTTGTGAGTGTGGTGAATAATTGCTATGTGTAGTGATGAGGAGGGACAAAGAGGCAGAGGTCTGTGTGTGTGTGTGTGTGTCTGTCTGTGTGTGTGTGTGTGTGTGTGTCTGTCTGTGTGTGTGTGTGTGTGTGTGTGTGTGTGTGTGTGTGTGTGTGTGTGTGTGAAAAGGATCCAACACGATTTTAAAACTTGCATGTGTGTGTGTAATTATAAATGATGTGTCACTGTTTCTGCCTACCGGGTATTCGGCAAGGCATGTTGGGAGGAAGGTGGATCGACTTCTTCTCCTTTGCCTCCTCCTCCTCCTCCTCCTCTTCCTCCTCCTCTTCTTCCTCCTCCTCCTCCTCCTCTCCCTCAGAGAAGCTGCTTTCCTCATCCAAGCGAAAGCCGTCATCAGCCGCAAAGCTCTGCAGGAGTCGGCTCACCGCGTGGCCCTTGGCCTGGGCGGGAAACAGGATGTGACATCAGTGGGCAGAAAAAGGCAGGACATGGCATCATTTCATTATGCGCCCAAACGAATCACTGGTAAACGGGACCTGCAGGTGAGTGAATGTCTTTTCCAGTCTGATGTGACTGATGTGGTAAATCCATCAGTGAAAAGCAACCGCAGGCACCAACGCCTCTTGTAATGCGACACCTCAATTAAGTCTGCAGGATTTTTTTCCGCTCAGCTGTCATCGTTCACTCGAAGTTCAGAGGTCGCAGTCGGTAATAACTGCAGCTCTTGACCTGGTAAGACTTTAGCGTTTTGCTCAAGGACACTTCAGCAGGAAGCCTCAACCCTAATTTACATTCTCACTTCAGACACACACACACACACGCACACACATACACACACACACACACACACACACACACAAACACACATCTCCAGACCGGTTTAAGCTAGTCTATCCAAAGATGATTGATGACAGAGGATGGAAAGTCAGCTCGCCCAACAGGTTTCTGCTTGTATCTAAGCTTTCTAAAGAAAAGACCATAATATTCAATGCAAGAGAGATGTTGTGTGTGCGTGTGGGTGTGTGTGTGTGTGTTGTGGGTGTGTGTGGGCGTGTGTGTGTGTGTTGTCTCTTGGAGTTTTCCACATCAGGAGACCATATATTTTAGTGACAGAAGTTTCGTCACCAGAGGGCATGGGTGATCATTTCCCTTTAGTGGTGGTGTTGTGTGTGTGTGTGTGTGTGTGTGTGTGTGTAGGAATGTATGGGTGTGTGTAAGGTTATGGCCAATGATTATCTTTATACTTCTGCGTTTGGTTTGGAGTTATGTGTTTTTGGACATTCCCTCACGATGACTCAAAGACTAAAGCAACCTCGGGGCATTTCTCATTAAAATGAATGCGGGTGTCTCGCCAACGGCTGCCTGCATGAATACAACGGGCCCAGTGGTGTGTTAGCACAGCAGGCACGCATGCAAACACGCACCTATAACAAGAGCAAATGGTATATTTGAAAAAGTGACGGATTTACAGCCATTGGTAGGTAATGTCAGTGTTAATCTGCAGGATTTTCAACCTTCCTGTCAGGGTGTGGCTCGCTTCAACAAGGAAGGAGTGAACGTGAGGCGAGGGCTTTTCCAAATTCCTCCCTGCTTCTCTCGTTCTCAGCACAAGGCCAAAGGGAGTAACCTTTCTCTGAGTCACCTTCCCTCCTTTTCTCACATTTCCAGTCACCCGCTGTCTGAACCGAAAACCTCTCCTGACCACTGTTGGGTTCGTTACACAGAAACCAGCGTGTCCCTCTCTGCTCATTAACTCATTTCAAAAGTAATGTAATTACCTTGCTTACAACTCTGTGGCAGCAGTAATATATTGTTACACTCTTTCCGTTACACTTGTAAAATTGGCAATTGCATTTCACCTTTTCCCTAATCAATTCCCGTTCCCGTGTGCTTCTGTGTGAATGAGCAGGAGAAAGAAAATAGATCCTATCCCCTATAAAAAGGATGTTGAGCATGTAGTTGCACAGCTTCCTGACTGTGACATCCACCACAAATATCGTCCGTTTTCTTCGCAAGTTAAGCTCCAATTGGCAGAATATGTGTGAATGATTTTATAACTTCAGAGCAGAAAAACAACTTCCTAAACGTGATCAACAGGTATCACGCTCAGGAAGCTGTAGAAGGTTTTTTAAAAAAGAATAAAAAATGGGAAAGAAACACTGTATTTCAATGCTGTCTAGGTCCCATGACACAGACGTGCACAGGTGAAGCTGTTGGGAAGGAAATGCAAGATGCAAATACCAGTGATGAGGGTGTAACAGAGAGGTGATGGAGTAGTGCCATAAATCACTGCTGTCAGGGGGTAATTTACTTACTTAAACAGTTGTCGCTGGCAAAAGCAGAATATTGCTGTCTCACCGTAATGTTACACGTCACCAGCCGACACCGGTAATGTCTGGCAAGTGTAATGTCTCACCTTGCCCAGAATGCCCTGTCCTGCTGAGGTCTTCTTCACGGCTTCCTTGCAGCTCCTGTTTGCTTCTGTCAGAGCTCCGTGGTTCCCCCGGCCGTTCCCAAATCTGCAGCCCACAGATGACACGCCACAGCTGGGCAGAGATGCTCTTTTAGTCCCCTGGTGGTCTGGACGTCTCCTCTCTGAGCTGGCGAGGCTCGGCCTTCTCGGTGCTCTCCTGTGATCTATACTGGGCACGCCCCCCATGCCTGAGGTTGAAGGGGTATTACATGAATATGAGGTAATTTCATTTTTTTTTGTCTTTTCCAGTTCTTGGAAGCTACATAACAGTTATCTGACAATTGTCTGAGCTTATTAGATTGCTCTAGATGAGTTAAATAAACAAAGACTCCCTCTAGTTTCTTGGCCGTCATATCAACACTACACGTCTGTTCCTCCGTGAACACATCACTAGAAAGCACTTATAGCTGTACACAAATCACCCATGATACCCATAAACGAGTTAACACTGTCACTGTTGGGTGAAACCTGGCATGTCCAACCTGAAATCAGCCGTATCTTTAGCAAAACCAACAGTTTTTCCCCCTTTTGATTTCGAAAAGTAAAACAAATGTAGAGTTCAGTTACAGGTTTTATTTGACAGCAGCACATATGAAAAATACATATAAAAATCTCACCAGTTGGCCCTGGTCTCTTACTCCTGGCTTTCTGGTTTGTTTGGAGCTTGGAGGACTGTGAAGAAAAAGGTGCAATCCCGGCAGGGTTTGCAGGAGTTTCTTTAGAGGATGAGCCAATCTTGGTGTCACCGGCTCCATCTTCGCTGTCGTAGCTGCCGTCCTCCTCCTCCTCTGTGGAATCACAACATCAGTTTGATCCGTCAGAAAGCTTCAAGTGATCTAAATGTAAGTACTGCTAACTAAAGCCACTTGACAAGATGTATTGACAGTGAGCCTTCAATATTCCTCCAGCATCTACAGTTCAGTTCAAAAGCCTGTGGCAGAACTCACATAATCGTAAACACAAAGACAGAGGAGCAAACAGAGAAGTGTTGGCAGTGACTGCATGTTTGATCAAACTCTGATTAATTCCTGCTTTAATGACTGCACAATAATGCACTGCTTGTTCCTTAGCTGCAGTGACAGGAAGCAAATGTTGGCACACATGCACAGATGTAGCGCTGCATGCACGCGCACACACGCACGCACACACACGCACACAGAGTGTTATTGGCAGCTGTGTGTCACTGACTGTGGGGGTCGTGTCGGGTGTCGACACATCTCTGACACACTTGTCACTTACATGGCGTTCTCGTCAACACTTTGCCCCAGCCACACACACACACACACACACACACACACACACACTCACACACACACAAATACTGACACACACACATACACACATTTAATCACAACTTCTCCATGCCATCAAGGTCGTGAGGTCTGTCAGATTCTACCGTTCTCCTGAAGTTTTGTTCATTTCATATTCGACCTTCCTCTCCTGTGAGGCATTCGTTTAAAAGTCAGGAGCAGTGTCATTGCGTCTGCTCAACTCCAAGGCCTCCGAGGAGGGCATTTTCACGAGGCTGGGGAGGTGAGGAAGAGAGAGGGGAGGGTTGGGGTGTGACATTCTGACCGGGGCCAGAGCGAGCTCACGTTACCGTACGGCGTTGAGGGCAGGGGTGGCTGTGTTGCATGCCTGTGGCAAGTCGTTAACGGTTTTAACGGTGTGACAGACGAGCTGGGAAGTGAGAGGAGGCCCCCGATGACGGCAGACATCTCACTCTCAGACACTTGATGTGCACACACACATGCACACAAACACACACACGCAGACATACTCTCATACTCTCATAGTGAAATCTCACAATGTCTGGGCGATGCTCTTTCAGCCAAATCGACACTGCTTGACTCATAACTCACTGGAAACGTTCTTTTTCACAATAAATGAAAAATAAACGGCCTTTTGAATGTTCATCTTTGTTCTTTGCAGCCAAGTTCTCATCTGGAGGATCCTTATTTGGCTGGAAACATTGAGAAAATGTGTGTGACCTGCACAGAAACTCACCGTGCTCTGAGCTCTCGTTGTCACTCTTCTCTTCCCTAACTTCCAGTTTCTCAGAGGCCCGGCCGTCCTTGTGATGAGCTCTGTTCAGGTCCACACCCATCAACACTTTGGGCTTCCGACCTCTCTTCCTCTTCATGGTCTGACCGGCTTCCCAGTCCTGCCGAGGGTCTGATGGATCAACGGCAGGGGTAGAGTTTAGTTTTGCAGTGCAACCTAACGAACAAGTGAGTATGTGAACTTTGTATGCTCCCTCTGCCCCCCCCACCTTTCCCTCCTTGTCTGCAGTGACTCTTGGGCGTCTCCGATGCTCCAGGGTCCCCTCTGCAGTGCAGCGTGCCTGCTGACGGTGCACCACGCTGGGCCGCAGCCTTCTGCTTCAGCTGGGTGACCCGCCTGGCCAGCCTGGAGCTCAGGGTGCTGGGCCGACCTCTGTGCTTACAGCAAGCTTTCATCTGTAGATGGGGAGCGGAACAGCTAATTATTGACTCATTTCTTTGCACTAATTGAAACATCCAGGAGAGAAGAGAAAAAAAACATTAGCAGCAGGAAGTGGTTGTCAGTGTGTGTGTGTGTGTGTGGATGAACCAGGAGAGACTGCAGAGGGACTGACCTGTGCAGCACTCAGGCTGTTGAATGCATGATTGGAAATTTTCTTCCTGGCTTTTTCCTCCAGCAAATTCAGCCCAGCCCTGGAAAACATAAAAGCACAGCAGAGGCGCACTTAAATAAGATATTATCATACATAAAACGGATTACAGAATTAATCTGATCACACATTTCTTTTCTCTCGAGGATGATATTCTGTCTAACTCTGCCTCTCTCCGCTCTCTTCTCTCTAGTTTCACTTCCCTCTCTGTTGGGTTCATTCATTGTCTCACTCTCTTCCCACTCTTCTTCTCTTTCTCATAACTTTGATGAGGTAAGAGACAGGCTCTGTCGGCCGTCTGCGCAGTTTAACGGCAAACACAGAAATATTCAGCAACCGTGTGAATATGAAACTCTGCTGAATCACCACATGAAAGGATAAGAATTATCTGGTGTGAAGGAGAGAGGAGAAGAGACAGAGAGAGGCCGAGGGAGGAGGAGAATGGTTGAGGGGGGGAGGGGAAAGAGACAGAGAAAGAGATGAAGCAGTCTCGGGGGAGTCTGTCCGTTGACCGGAGCTTCAGGGCTCAATCGATAAACACTAACCTCTATTGAACACTACTCCTCCCTTCCTCTCTCTCTCTTCCTCTCTCTCTTCATTGTATGCATGCTCTCTCACACCACTGGCAGCCAGCATGCACACACACACACACACTCTGTTAGCAGCTATGTCTGAGGCAGGTGAATCCTATATTCCCACAGAGGGAAGGTTTGACTCTCAGCATCTCCACTCCCAGGAGAGGAGAGAGGAGAGAGGAGAGAGGGGAGAGGGGAGAGGGGAGGGAAAAAAGGGAAGAGATCTATCTATCTAAAAAAACCTGAAAGATTTGGACCACATCTGTCTGTTGCAATCGCCCTGCCTGACCCTCTGAGCTTCTAAGCCTCTCAGTTTACACCATGTCACGTCCTAACCTACTGCACAGTCACTGTGAATGTGCACTGCTATACATACTAGATATTTCCCCAAAAAGTGTGTGTTCACTACTTGCATACTCATGGTTTGGGCTGTGGGGCCCTTTGTCCTAGTTAAGTGAAATCTCATGCAATGATATTTTAAATAGTCTGCTTCCAACTTTGTGGGAACATTTTGTTGGAAGTCGTTTCCTACGGTGGCCCTATTGCCCAAATGTGACTTTAGAAGTTAAAACCACTGAATAACAAGCGCGTCCCAGCCAGGTTCAGCGCTTTTTAAAGTTATTTTTTGCCTTATTTCTGATAGCGAGAGTGAGAGAGAGACAGGAAAGTCAGGGGGAGAGAGAGAGAGTGGATGATATGGTGCAAAGGGCCACGGGTTGGACTTGAACCCGGGCTGCTGCTGTTAGGTTCTCAGAGAAAGCAGCGTGGTTGTTGTCCATATACAGTGCAAGTGTGTACCGAGAGTAATCGTTGGTTCAGTTTCAAAAGGTTGTTACTCTCTCACTCTCACACCGTTTCATTTCACCACACAACTCTCACGAGAAGATGAAAGTATAAACAGACGATACAACGCTTGTTAATAACAACAGAAATGCTGCTCACGCACATCGTGTCCAGCTCTACTAATTAAACAAGTTCTGTGTGTGTGTGTGTGTGTGTGTGTGTGTGTGTGTGTGTTGCAACGGCATGTATGACTAAAGCCTTTCATTGTCATTTTCATTAGCGCCTTCTAATCATAGTAACCGTGACAAACCTCTAGTTTCACTAATCATTTTATCAAGGCGAGGGGTGCACATGCTAACAGAGGTGGGGCAGCATGAGAAAACACATTTATCATGATGAACGCTGAACACCGACTCTGTGAGTGTGTGTCTTCCAGCTTCGTGCGTATGTGCAGGAATGCGTGCACATGTAAGGTGTTAACTAATGCGTGGTTGTGTGTTGCAGCCGGTGAGGGTGGTGTTGAGTCGTTTATCACTGTAATAACTGTACATCACGACTTTGTCCAGCTGTATTAATGTATGCTGGAGGTTCACATTGAATCAGGACATAATCAATGCAAGTGATAAATATGATTAAAAGTGATTAATGATGATTAATGAAGGCCTCATCTCCATTACATTCTCGCATTTAAAATCACACCCAGCTTACAGCTTCCATCACATAACCCACCGCGTGTAAGTGTGTGTGTGTGTGTGTATGTGTGTGTGTGTGTGTGTGTGTGAGCAGCTCCTTCCAGTGCCCAATCAAGCAAATCATCAGCTATAGAGCATTCGAATCAATTCAGCTGAAGAAGAACTTCTTGAAAATCAACCGTGCCTTTCACTAAAAACACAAACAGAAATCAGGATGAATGAGCGAGGCTTGCCAATCACGCTGATTATACTGACGCAATATCAGAGGACTGACCTGAGTCTTTTGGAAGTCTCTGCAGCAGCTGGGCCGGGGGTGGACTTGCGCTTGCGGGGGCGACCGGGCCCCCGGCGGGCAGGGCTACGAGACGTCTCCTCTTTCCTGCAGAGAGGAACACAAGAAGGGGGAGGAGAAGGAAGACGGAGAGAGAGAGAGAGAGAGAGAGAGAGAGAGATCAAAGACACAGTCTGGACAGCAAGAGAAATCAGGAGGAAACTTGTATCGGCTACAGGTCAAACTGCATTAGGTATGAGCAGGCAGCAAGTCCTGATAAATCAGGAGGATGCAGCATGACAGCAGAACTGCGAATGTTGGAATGCACGATTCAATTTAGACAAAAAGAAGAGTGTGTGTGTGTGTGTGTGTGTGTGTGTGTGTGTGTGTGTGTGTGTGTGTGTGTGTGTGTGTGTGTGTGTGTTCTCTCTGCTCACTGGTGGTCGTGTTTCCTCTGTAGCTTGGCCAGTTCTCTCTGTTTCTCTTTGTAGCGGCGCTGTAGCTCAGCCAGCTGGACACGCATGGCCAGCTCCTCCCCTCCCATCGTCTCCATGGAGCCCTTCACTGGGCACACCTGACACACACACACACACACGCACAAAAACACACACACACACACACAAAAACAGAGGAATTTGAATGCTGAAAACAAACTGAGTTCAACAGTCTTTGGACATATGAAGTCGCCAGCTTGTGTTTGTGCAGCTTGTTGATTAGATGGAGTTCTCACCAGTTTGATCCCTGAAGCGGCTCATTTTTTGTTAACCGACAACATCCGCCCTCGAAGGCAAGGGTTTCTGGGAGATCGAACTGGTGCTCCGTGTTAAAATATTTGCAAACATGACGATATGTAGGTAACTAGAACTTAAAGAACTTCAGTTCCAGTTAAAATAAAAAATATTCTTTGCTAATAAAAATCAGATTTTGTGAGAAATTCACATAAAAAATAAACAATCTAATTTAAATTAAAAGCTACACATTTTATTTGATCACTTACAAGCTAATTTTATTTGTCCAGTATTACTCAACACACAGTGATGTACGCTGCAGTGTTTCCATGAAAAACTGATTGTCTGGGTGCATATGGATGAGTTTGATGTCCATGTTTGCATCACTGAGGATAACCAACGGATGATTTGTGCTAATTTCTTACTTGGAATAAAATTGTCAGATAAAAAACTGTAAATGTTTGTAAATGTCAGACAACCTTCTCTCTGTAGCATGTTTTTTTTCTTCTTTTTTGTTTAGGCTAAGTAAAAAACAAATGAGGTGTGTGTCCATTGTTCAACACTCTCCTACATTTTCAGCCTGAATGATTTATGTTTGCATGCATAAAACAAAATACACATTCGCTAAAACCTCACCGGCTCGTGGCGAGGCGTCCAGCTGCACTTCCTGCGCAGGTTGAGCCTTTTCCTGATTGGACACTGCTGGTCCACCCCCACATCCGCAGCCCCTCCCCCCATCTCCAGGGCACGGGCGGCCGCCAGCGTCGCCAGACTGTGGAGGTCAAAGGTCAGCATGTCCTCACCTGCACGGAGACGGATTGTTGTGGTTTAAGATTGGTGCATCAGAGCGGCTGACACCGTGTTATAAAACATGTTGCGCGCTGAGCGGATTTATTTCTGGAGTGATGAAACCATGCCTTGAAAAGTGGTGATATTTACGATATTAGCTGGGTAGTTTATTTGATGTATACTGGTGTTCATGCCTAATCGTACACAAACAACACAAACACACACACATGCACACATGTGGGGGAGTGCTAGAGAACGATCTCTACATCTGTCACTGTCATTAACTCTGTCATTGTCACAGCACCAGCAGATGAAACAGAATATTCATGAGACAGTGCGCACACACACACACACATACACACACACGCACACATGCATGTAAAAACACACACATAAACCTATGCAAATAAATCACACTCATTCTGAACACACACATTCTCCAACAACATTGACGGAGCTGCACAGACACGAGCATGAGTGTGTGTGTGTGTGAGGGAGAACTGGAGAGAAGGAGAACAACAGACAGGAGGGAGGAGGAGGAGTGCAATGCAGTGAGATGAAGGGGGGAGGGGATGGGGAGTAAAGGGGAGGAGAAGCAATAAGAGGCAAAGTGTTTATTGAGCTATCTATTTATTCTCCTACATCTCCTCATTATGGACATGGACAGAATCCAATTTCCCCCTTCGAGGAGAGGAGAGGAGAGGAGAGGAGAGGAGAGGAGAGGAGAGGGATGTAGGGGAAGTAAAAACAACACAAGAAATGAGGTGGAAGATAACAGAAGAAGAGAGGAAAAGGAAAGACATAAATGTAAAGAGATTATTTTTTACCTAAGAAAGCAAA